CCGTCAGGCACTGTGAATTTGAGTTTTTAGAGCAAACTTGATATTTCCCAGCATTATGTTTTAGGAAGTTTCCATTCACACAACTCTGTTTATACAATGTAATCACATCTACACAAAATAAAAACCAATGAGAGTAGGAAACACTGACGAGGAATAATCCTTTTAAAGAAGGGATTTTTTAAAATGTATGGCTGTCTACGAAGTAAGCTTGTCTAGAAAATGCACTCCTGAGACCAGCTCATCCCTGGCCGGCCGCGTGACGCTGCACCACGAGGACGTTCCTTAGACTGTGTACGCGGGCGCGTTCATCCTTTGTGCTCACCAGAGGGGTCGGCTCCGGGTCAGGATGCTGTGGAACAATAAGCACAGGAATATGGAAACGGAGAAATGGGGAGCAAAGAAAGAATGAACAAAAAATGTGAAAGACAGGAGCGCATCTACTTGACAGGGTTTGGTTTGTGGCAGTTTCTCCTACAAAATGATTGGGAGCCTGTTTACTAAAATAACACACTCTATGCTCATGTGCCTTTTAAAAGATCGTTCTGGGAATGGGTTTTTATAGATAAATACCAAGTGGCTCGGAAGGTGACATGTCCCTCTTGTTGGAGCAGCAATATTCGTAACCTCCCTCAGGGCAGGGACCACGCACGAGTCTCCCTCGGTAAGTACTTCTCTGCTAACTCGTGCCCAGCGCTGGGGAATTCATAAACGCACCCCCCTGAGAGCACCTCATTCATTCATCTGTGGTTTCAGCAATTCCACAAACGCGTGCTGAGTGCCACATTGCGGGCGCTGACCGAGAATCTGGGGACCCAGGAGTAGAACAGACGTGGCTCGTATCTTCGTGCAGGTTGTTTTAGTGAGCAGGGCAGACCACAGCTGCAAACCCACAAAGACACGACATGCTGGACATTGATGATAAAGACCCGACATAACTGGATAATAAGATCGAAGACCTGACATACTGGACGTTAACAGTAAGGACATGATCTAAATGGATGTCAATAACAAAGACCTGATAGAACCAGACGATAACAATACAGACACGGTCTAATGGTACATTAATAACAAAGACATGATCTAATGAGAGATGAACAGGAGCCATCAAGAAAAACAAAACAGGCCGAGTGACTGAGAGTGGCCAGGATGGAGAGGTGGAAGGCTAGTGTCAGAGGTCATCTTCTGGGTAAGACGTGGGTGACGGGAGGCCAGGAGCCCAGGCAGAGAGGACCCCAGTGCAAAGGCTGTGGGGCAGGCGCGAGCTGGGCCCATGGGAGGAACAGGAAGACAGCGGAGGCCTGGGCAAGAGTGCAGCGGGCGGACGTGAGGAGCAAGCACAGAGGGTGACGGAGCTCGTGGAGCCCTGCAGGCAGGGGCCTCTCCCAGGGCGTGTTAACAGCTGCTAGAGAGTCTGAATGGAGGAGTGACAGGCACATCCCAGGAATGGGGTCGTCCCTCAGGCCACACACTCAGAGTGATAACAAAAGCCAGAGGGTGAGATTCATGTGGGACCCTCTCCACTGATTTTAAATCCAGGCTAGTTCAGCCTTTGGAGTTTGTGCCAGTTAAATTCTAAAGCTAGGCAACTCTGTTCATACTTCCATCTCCTCCTGGAACAATGATCATTATGAGTGCCTGGAAGTGGCAGACC